TACCCTGAAATTGTACAAACGGACACTTGTGAAGTCTCTATACACTTGTTCTGCCTAAAGTATCCATAGGGCTTTGAAATGCCTCCTAAATTAAATGATATTCCTCCATTGACCTTGCAAGCTTGTTCATAACGCTTTTAAATTGAATCCAGCGGCCACGTACGCCTCTAAATGCTTAGATTCCCTGAGTGCCCAAATCCAAATATGTCAATATCATCCCACTCTCGGTACTCATCTGCTTATTTGATATTATTCATTCAACGAACAGCATGTAATTGGTAGAAGTGTTTCGTCTGTTGGATTCGAATGGTAATCGGTATGGACCATCTTGAAAGATTTGCGGATGAACATGTATTTTTTAAGGAAGAATTTAAAGCGCAATGGATTCAATTGTCTGGGAAAAAGTGTACTTGCTCATGCCAGAAAAATTTGTTCGGCCAACTGGACGATGAGCTAGTGTTAATTACAATAACACTTATGGCGAACGGTAGCTTCGAACATTTATTCAGAAACACAACCAACCGCGCAAGCCAAAGACTTTGCTGCACACGGCAGCCAAGAAGGTGTATATCGAGTTACGTATAAAAGATGAGTTAGCCGTCCTAAGGACGACTAATGGCATATTTTCGATTACGTAAGGAAGTTAACATGCTTCACATGGTGTTTTCACCGACCGAAACTGAAATTCGTCCATATATCCAACGAAGGAAGATCGGTCTATCAGGGTCAACCCACACTGTGTACACCAATTTGCGGAACCAGTTACGCAGGCAGAACTAATCGGACTCTGAATTCCAGCATGTGCCAAGATGCGTTCAGCGCGACATCACCCAGATTTCCTACCCCTGTCGGATTCCGTGCCCGCATAGACCGCAGTCATCCTCGATGGGCAAACACCTATCAGCCGCTGGTCACCAGAAATAGGTGGACTCAGCGTTCAAAGTTTTTACGTCAGGCTAAATCCCGCTTCTTTCGGTTTGCTGAGGCTGTTTCTATAAGCCGGAGGAAGCTATGCACTATGCTTTCAGTAACATTATTTGTCAGCCTAAAGCTGCCCTGCACCTCAAGCTTGTCTGATCGCACCCACTGTTATCTATATCTATGCATATCAGTTTTTGTTAATGGTATTCAGCAACTAATACGAAATGCATGCATCTACCAGCCTTCGTCTTATTTCTAATTTAATCATCCTCTGGCTTGATTAAAAGCTGTGTGGTTCTTTTTCCGGTTGACATTTGCAACCTCGATTATTACGAACTATTATGGCTTTAATTGCAGTTGAGAGATGCCATCACCGATCGGAAACTTCAATTGGAATTCCTTGGGAACAAGTGAACTATGTAGACTGATTTATCCAGGGTAAAAAGTAGGTGTTTAAAAAGTGGCTTAGGACGGCTGGGATAAAAACAACAAAATCCAGTTATACGTGTGTCAGTGAAGAAGGAACAATGAACAGTGGTTCGTGACGAGTAAAAAGTGAATACATGTCAAGTCCTATAGGTGACCGGTGTGAGCACTATAAGGCCATGGTTAAAAGAATGACAAGAAAATGGGAAAAGTAGGGTATCAAGCGACTCACCAAGCTATCAACATGGACAGTGCTACAGGTTCTTTTTACCGCTAGGGCACAGAGTACTGGTGAGCTAATAGTTTGGTTCGCATTAGTTAGTCCTCCGGGTGCGACCAGTGAGATCACTTGCCGTTAAGGCGATTTTTGACAAGCGTTAATGAAGAGGCACAAGGAAGTGAGCTGGAAGAGCGTTCCTTGTTCGGGATACGCGAAGGGAGAAAACATTAGGTCGGTAATTTCGTCGACGGTAATGCTTGGCAAGTTAGGTTCACCACTGCCATAGTTCAGAAGCTGATGTAGGAGCATTCATTGAGATGTCCAGATTGACACGATTGACTACAACTCCCCATCAAGAGCTTCAGCCTAGTTACTGGGACCGATTAACAGGTTACTGATACATGAGCGACTTTGGCAAGAGCAATGTTACTCCGGTGCTATTGTGTTGTGCTTTTCCAGATTTAACATCAGTGCTACTGCAACGATTGACTTCATAATGTCAGAGAAAACAGGAATCAACAGCACTTGGTGATACTATTCAGGACCGGTGAAAATATCTCATTGTGAATAGAAGTGGTGACCCTTCGTTTCCATATTGGTGGAACGTTTTCCTCCTCTATAAAGCGCTGATATAACATTGCCACTAACTGAACTGGATCAATGGCTGTTGCTTGCAGCGCTTTCTGCGAGTGATCTTTACTCCAGGAGAACCGTGGACGCGAAGAAATAACGCCTTCAACTCAGCTCATGAGTTGAGGCTGATACAGGACAAAAATAATGGTGGACGACAGAAATGGGGAATTATTCGTGCCCACTGCTCGCTGGAACGTATGCGAGTAATGAATCTGCAAAATATCGGTTGCTTCCCTCGTTAATCGCATTCGCCCATCAATCATGGTAGGATTCCGCAGAGCAACTCACGAAGACCATTAACATGCTTGCTTAAATTCTGCGTTTTGCGCAGAATCACAGAAGCCTCATTAGTTTCCGCTGCTTTATCACTTTGTACCTTCAGCATAAATTAGCACAGTAGTTATGCTGTGCCTTACATAAATAAACAAATTTGTATATTCACTGACAATGGGTATACAACCCCTAGGTAGGTATACAGCCCGGGTTCCGGCATTTGGATAGTAGTTATGGATTTGTCATGCTAAATCCCTTGAGAAAATGCATTTATGCGTTCTTTTTCTTAGAAAGGACTTGGTTTTACCGTTTCTGCTCTTTTTCATGCGCAACCAGTGATGAAAAACGCATTACTGATGTTTTGCAAGCGATTACTGGGACATACTCAATGAACAAAGGTAAGCTGTCTCCTTAACAAGCATGGGGAGTACGTCGAAGGGCGCAAAAGTAGATAACTTCTCTTTCGCTTCCGTGGGATAGTCCACATTACATCCACCGTCAAATATTAGTCATATGGTCAGCGAGATCTAAAGGTGAACTTGTAACTATGTTGTCGAGCATAAATCCTTCATTGGTGAACACAAGAGCAAGTAACGTTGACCACTCCGTCATTCTAGGAAGCTACATTCCACGGATTGAATGCTTACAACTAAGAAAGCGACCAACACTAGAATGCTGCACAAACATACATAGATAACACCTATACGATTCTCTGCAGTGTAATAGTGCATGCTAAGCAGCAATTTCTACCTGCGCTTAAATGGAGAGTTTTCCTTCGATCTGAAAGGCCATGTTTACAAGTACACATCGAGGGCCGTCCTATATTATGAGTTTGAGACTTAGACCCTACGATCTAAGAACCTGTGGCGCTTTCAAGTCTTTGACCATCGCTGTTTGTGAAGCATTGTTAGTGTCGGATGGCACCGGTGTGTCCGCAACGATGATGTGTGTAATCGAGGGCTTGGCAGTGATAATCATGTGTTCTTTAGAACACCAGTTAGCAGTGAGTAACTTGCGGTGGCTTGGACACATACTACGTATACTTGGTCACCGTTTTTGTTTCGTTTGTAAGATGTATGGTGGCGCAAGGACCGAACTGGGCACAAATTAACCTGGCAGAGTGAAATGAAGTCACTAATGACCAAGCTCGGTGCCGTTGATTCATCTTGCCTCCTGGGCCTTACGTTTGGCCTGAGAGGTTATAAGACATGGCTCGCAGTCGACGCCCGTGGCAAATCTGCTGTCTTTTCTCAGTCGGATTGCCCGTTTAAGATGTGTTTTGTGATGAGTTATCTGCGAGAGAACGGTTGATTATGACACGCGGCAGTGAAAGCCACATGGAAGCTATCTCGCCGATGACACCTTATCTTTACACGATGGCCAGCTGTTTGTGACGGTATGTTGTTGACACAAGGTGTAGGTGCTTTGACCCTGAGTGTTTGTTTGTTGCATTAAGGTTTAACTCTAAAACTCACTACTCATCCTCTTATTATTATTATTCTTTTCTTAAGTCATCGTGCCTGTACGACAGCCGAGCATCAGGTCAATTGGCTGACGTAATGCTGTTACCAAAGACGACGCAAGGCAGATAGGGTTGTTTTGGAAAACGCCCTCATTTACCAAAATGGTCAACGGAGGCACCTCAACGCCTACCTACAAGGAACGATGTTCTTACCTCTAGCTTGACCCACTCTGGTTTCGACGACTGAACAGAAATATCACTTCTTTATAGTAAAATATAGTAGCGAGTTTTCTCAACCAGTACTTATGTTGTTTTACAAAATGACTCAAGCTATCCAGCTCGTATTTGCAAATGTCTACTAATCTCACAATGTAAAATATTATCAACTTTTTTCTCAAGAAGGTACGTCCATCAGTTAAGGACAAACAAAAGTCGTCTACATTTAGGTTACACCTAAAAAATTTCTTTTTATGCCCAATGGGCCTTAAGCAATCTACGAGTTCACTCATGAAATCCGGACCGAAAAACTTGTGACAAAACTGCCTTTCTATTAATTCTATTTAGTGTACGTTCCACAGATCATTTTAGTTTTGAGCTTTTCTGAACACAAGTTCATACATGAGATGATGATGAAACTCACTGCACTAATGATCGTTCCACAAAAAGAGATCTATTCCGATCATCGGGAAACATACCAACTATTACAGATCATTACTAGGTTCTCCCTGTAGAATTTAACATTTAATTTTAAGTCCTACCTTGCCATATCTTGAAAGATGGCGAAGTACTTGTTCTCATTTAGCTTGATTCACAGAATTACTGCGTTCGTTGATTATGCAGTGAGACATAAACAGGGTGATCTGCAACCAGGTACACTACGATAGTCATATGAACGCAGCCGAATGCGTTGATGACGAATGCGTCATTTTCAATAGTTGGAGGCCGCTTGTTGTTTGTCCTACTCCGAACTTTTGCAAAATGAGCGGATGCGTGGTCACGTTACCACACTGATTACTGTTACTATTGCAAGCAAACGTCAGAAAAATATTAACTTTCCTTTGACAGCTTCTTCGTGAGGATGGATTACACTGATGTAGATCATTCTGGCGTTGTGGATAATGAAGAACTGGGTGCAAAGCAGAAAGTGGCCGCGGGTCTTAACAAGGTCAAATCATGCTTTTCAGACCGCCGGATTATTCTAGTGATTGTATTCGTCGCTCTTTTCCTGGATAACATGCTTCTGACTGTGGTTGGTAAGTTATTGATAATCATGCCAGGTACTCTCAAAACAAAACAGCCTTGCACCCTATTTGGTTTGTTTACATAGACGTACGGCCAACTTTTTGCTATTCTGCTGTTCACCCCCCCCCCGTTACCTCTTGGCCAGCGCCAGTTTTTCGATAGGATAATATCCCAGTCCAGTAACATAAAGTTGCGAGCAGTAAAACAAGCTGAACTCACCTAAAACCATTTCTTTAAATCACAGGACAGACCATTTGAAGTGTTGGTGATCACGATTTTAAATGTATAGAAGTTTCCTTCTCTGAAACAAAGTTTAATTCACAATTCGAGCAAAATCATTACCATGACTTTCAGAATTTTGGGTTTCTTTGACGCGTTTTTGATGAAAACTAGTCGATACAAGTGCTAAAATTACAGCTGTCACAAAGCATTTAGTAGCACAGGTAAGTGGCTCGGTTGTCCTCGGTTATTTTTTAAGCATCTATGTAAATACCGTTGTTTACTCTAATAACCGTGTATAGTTACTGTCTACTAATCGTTGGGTCCTTCCGCGCTGCTTACTCCAGCACTCAAAAAGGTACTGAGTTCGCCCTCAAAAACACACCAGGGAGATCCTATTGACATACTATGTCGAAACACACAGTCTTACTCAATCGTGATCTAATCAGCTGTGTTGCTTAATGAAACAGAAAAGATGACATTATCAGTCAGCCTTCCGCTGCCTACAGCATTCGACCACCGAAACTCGCTAAACTGAGTTCCATTGATAAAGTTTGACACTCAATACTGAGGGGGACATTCAATAGTATTTCAATAGTATTTTAAAGTACATAGCTTTATGGATTATTAGCTCATCTATGTAACTGAAATTTCTGATATTTACACAAATTAACATCGTTTCTTCACATCAAAACAAACAACAACGAACCTACTTGTATTGGTGTGCAGTAGCTGTGCGGCAACGATCCGCGATTCCAAACGGAGTATAGATGACGGTCAAAACTTTTTATTCGTGGAATGCACAATCATTTACACTGTAAAACATTTGTAGCGAAATTCATTTGTGGCTGATTCTGACTGGTTAGTTCCCATTGCCGCATCCTATTCTGTCTGCTCTTCTGTTACCTCTAGTCCAAATCACTTATGCACTCGCTAGGGCCAAGTTAAACTTGGCTCACACTACCCAGCGACACTGTTCCGCTTTCCATCCGCTCAGTGAAATTAGGGTCAGCTCGAGTGGGTACCAGTTGATTCGTTTTCTGTTCACTAGTCATTGCGTCCGTTTAGCTGACCTCATGCCATTTCTCTGGGTTCGTTATCAGGCGTGCGCTATTCACTTAATTATATTCGTACCAATTGGCTCCGCTTCTGTTCGTAACCAAGCGCCTCTTTGTTCGCATTATGTCGAACCAATTCTTAGTTTCACTCTGTTCCGTGCAATCTTTATCAGCTCGCACGGACTTAGCTCAAGTAGCCTAGTGCCTGCATATTGCCGTCGGCTCTGTTCCCACGAATGATCAGCTGCCATCACAGAAAATCATCTGTGAAGGCGGGCTCGAAATTAGTGGGCTACGACTATCGCAGCTGCAACTGATATCATTCATTCTGCACCGCATACGAAACCATATACTCTATTAGCATTCGCCAGTTAGTCCAGCAAACAGGTCTTTCTAAGGCAGCAACGCTTGCGCTTTGATACAGGCCCGCCGGTAGATGTTCTATAAACAGCAACTCTGAATTATTAAGTGAAACACATCATCATCATAAATTGAAGTCAAGATTTCCTCTTATGTACCCCCTAGCGTTGTATGTTGTCTTTTTCTGATGACGCTGGTGGGTACCACTTTATACTGATGTGAGTGAATTCGCACATGCCTATTTGATACATGACCGCGCTTAAGGTCAAAGCTTCACGGCTGTTTTATCGTCCAAAACACCTACTCGTAGCCAAGGACAACCGCCTGTATTAGTCGCAAATTCTTGCAAATGGACAGAAAAACGTTATACAGATTCAAAGCCGATAGAAGAAATAGTAAAATGAATGTGGGGGAAATTGCCACCAGACTCCAATTAACCCGGCATAATCAAAGCAGCGGTGCGGTCTTTGGAATGGATATCTGAGTCTAACCAGATTTTTTCGCAAAGTGCATTCCGAGTACAAAGCCGATCGAGCTTTCTGGAGCCGGTAGAAAACTCACCTCTTCGCAAAATGTTGGTCTTATGTGACTGCCAAAGAGCAATAGATTTGTCGTTGCTTCACTGAGCACTAAACACCAACGAAAAAACAGTTATCGAAGTGTATTTTTGCTCTTGGCAAGACTACAGTTTCACCGACACATCATGGTTCAGAAGTTGGCAGCCTCACTGGGACGCCACGAACAAGTACAGTACAGTGAGCACTGTCCACTCGCCTGATGACCGCCTTGTTTCTATGATCCATTCTCTCATGATCCATTCTCCTATGATCCACTCTCTCCCACAGTCTCGGCGCGCATTATTGTGTCTACACTTATTCATCTTGGATTCTCCAGCAATATGCAGGAGGGCTGTGTACAAGGTTGTCTTTAACACACCATCATTATCTTTGTTACTGTAATTTCGGCAGGATTTCCACCGAAGACCGCGCGCAAATTAGTCTTAACTTAGATCACTTATCACAACTTTTGCCATATTTGACGGAGTGCTCTTATGGGTATCCAACAAGTTCTATATGAAAAGCACTGAAAGAAGAAGGAAAGCAACTACTTTAAATTTCTATATGATCAAAAACCGGAGCTCCATTTGATAGATGCAGTTCAATGTTCAGCCATCTTAATGCCCGTCAAATTAGCGTGAGTGCAATCACGATGCAAATGCTTATCAACTTGCAGCCAAGCTTCTAGCCCGATCAGTAGCCAAGTGCCTAATGCCTGGAGCAGGTCGTGTATTGACCTCTGTCGCCGTGTGTTCGCACCTGTGCTCCGACACGTAGGGCATTGTCAACTGGCCTAGCCTGCCTGACCCGACAGGCGTCGTGAACTTAACATTGGTTGTTGACCAGGTAGTGAACGGAATAAATCAAGTAACTCAAGTTATGTATAAGCATGGTACGCAACATCGCATCACGGGAAATAAGGTCTACATGGTCTACATGGCGGAAAGGAAGTTCACTGCAAATCGATGTCATACTACAAGAGTATTTGAGTTGGAATATGTTGCAGCTGCAGTAGGCGATGACATCCAACAAGTATTCGGCTTTGTTACTACATAAAATAAAACAAAATGTATATACTCGATGTTACACGAGGCATCCCAAAGAACGCGTGATCAGTTTTGTACAATCGGATATGCGCAAATTGCTGTCTGATCACATTTTAGGCTTGGCAAGTGTAAGTGATGGGGTTCTTGAGATCCAGGACATGAGATTTGTTTGTGGTAACTGTTTACTGGTTGGAATAGCAGATTGTTTTGCGAATCCGAAGGAGTTGATAGACCCGAATGATGCTTCGGATATTTATCGCAAGTATATGGAAAATTAGTGACTCAAAGGGTGTTTTTTTTCCATTGGTTTGGTTTGACTTCGAACCGATTGCTTGTGGCGCTATCCGCAGGCACCTGTCGTTCATTTTTCGCCTGCTCGTCGTAAAATCTGGCGTCAGCTTGCTTTCGACCGCTTTGGATTCCTGTCCGTACCCAAGTTAAGTGGACCGTGAGCCTCATGGGAGTGGGAATCGGAAGCGCTGATGCAGGACCGTCCGCCGTCATTGCAAGATTCCACAGGTGTCAGGCTACATGTCTGAAACACTCGGAAACAAGGGCAACGGACAACAGATAGCCGAACGGAACGCCAGAAGGAAATGCGATACAAGCGTAGAATAAAAGTGAAAACATGTGACAAAGGAGTAACCGTTGAACCCTTATGTACTGTGTATCTGCTTTGTCATAAATATTATATGTAAATGAGTTCTTACGAAAGGCTAAGCAGCGGGGAAGGCGAAGAAATGTGATTTGGGGCTGGGTGCCCCGTAAGAAAGAGGAGTAGAAAACGTCGCAAGTTATTAAGAGTAAGTGTGTGGCTGTATATACGAAGTTATGTCGCTACGCTGTGTCCCATGTTGAGGCTGATGTTGCATTCATGATGCTTCTTCACCGCAGTTGGGCTAAACCAACTTACACTTAAACTAGGTCTTTTTAAGCTGGCTAAATTTCATTCCACTTTCTTTGGTTTGTTCTGCCTACCTGAATAATGTTCTATTAACTGGCCAAGTTGCTTACGCTAATTGCGCGTATCTTCGGTAATTTTGTTGCATTTGTAGCATTTTTAGTAACTTGTGGACATTTCTTACTTATCGCGCATTCATTGCTAATCAACTTACTTCATATGGTAATTTAGCGAAGAGTTATGCCACCGTATCTGTATGCATTATTGGATTTATTTTATCCCAGCTTGTCGTTTAAAGTAAATGGCTGTTGCTTGATATCCCCGGTGTGGCTGCGCTTGATGTGCATGTTGACAAGGTGCCTACCTGTCTATTACCCACTATCTCGTCCATACCGGCTCCAGGAGACAGTTGGTCGTTGCTGGAGGGGACGGGGTGCACGGTCCTTGTGGTCATGCTAGGCTCAAAGAGTGGTTCCATGTAGTCAGTGTGGAGCGGACTACGGTCCAGCCACCGCCTTGTGTGCGCTGGATTCCCAAATACAGCGTGCTTGTGTTTGCCTGTGAAGGAGTGTGGGCCGGCTCCGTTGATGAAACGTGGCTCCCATCCACATGCCTCCCGGCCTTATTCCTTCGGGTTTACACTGGATATGGGGTGTGTGGTTAGAGCTGTGGGTGGTGCAGCGCAAGCCATCCATGGTCCCTCTGTAGGCACAGGCGTCCTGTGGCTGACCACAGTGACAGGCAAATCCGAAACCGGATGCCGCCAACCATGTCGCTACGTTGTGCAGAGTGAATCAGTCGCCCTATCTTGTTAAGAGATGAGAGCTAATGCAAATAGAATGATGGAAAGCAGCCGATGGCGGTGAACGT